AGCTCCATCGCTCTAAGGACCCGTGATGTCATCACGTCCATTCACTTGCACTGGATAGGAGAGCTCCATCGCTCTAAGGACCCGTGATGTCATCACGTCCATTCACTTGCACTGGATAGGAGAGCTCCATCGCTCTAAGGACCCGTGATGTCATCACGTCCATTCACTTGCACTGGATAGGAGAGCTCCATCGCTCTAAGGACCCGTGATGTCATCACGTCCATTCACTTGCACTGGATAGGAGAGCTCCATCGCTCTAAGGACCCGTGATGTCATCACGTCCATTCACTTGCACTGGATAGGAGAGCTCCATCGCTCTAAGGACCCGTGATGTCATCACGTCCATTCACTTGCACTGGATAGGAGAGCTCCATCGCTCTAAGGACCCGTGATGTCATCACGTCCATTCACTTGCACTGGATAGGAGAGCTCCATCGCTCTAAGGACCCGTGATGTCATCACGTCCATTCACTTGCACTGGATAGGAGAGCTCCATCGCTCTAAGGACCCGTGATGTCATCACATCCATTCACTTGTACTGGACACGAGGGCTCCATCGCTCTAAGGACCCGTGATGTCATCACGTCCAATCACTTGCACTGGTCAGGAGAGCTCCATCGCTCTAAGGACCCGTGATGTCATCACGTCCATTCACTTGTACTGGACACGAGGGCTCCATCGCTCTAAGGACCCGTGATGTCATCACGTCCATTCACTTGCACTGGACAGGAGAGCTCCATCGCTCTAAGGACCTGTGATGTCATCACGTCTATTCACTTACACTGGACAGGAGGACTTTCCACAGCCGGAGCGGAAGGGTTGCCACCATGGGACCGAGGATCGGGTGAGTATATCGGCGATCAGAACATTGTGGGTGCAATGCTCTGCCTCCTGCAGACTTCTCCTCCAGCCTAAGGCAGGAAGCGGTGTGGGAGGAGCAATCGCCGGCGCTCCTTCTACAAGTCCCATCTGCCGCGGTGGCAAACAATGGATGATGTGGCTCTGTGGGCGGAGCCATGCTAAAAAGGAAGATGCACCCCTCAATTTAGGTTAAAGGGGGGTGGTTCGGGATTTTCAGATGAACTATAGTATAAAACGTGGACTTAGCCTTTAACTCTAATAGAGAATTGCCGCCACCTTCCTGGCTGTGCTGTCTGGCAGGGGTGTGTGGATCACAAAAGCGGCTGAACAGAATTAGACTCATCCACCTAACCAACCGCTCAGTGTCTGCAACCCCCCTCTGTCAATCCCTACACTGGCTTCCTATAGCCCAAAGGATAAAGTTCAAAATATTAACAACCGCGTACAAAGCCATCCACAACTCTGGCCCCGGCTATATCTCCAACCTGGTCCCAAAGTATCACCCTAACCGTCCCCTCAGCTCTTCAAAAGACCTCCTGCTTTCCAGCTCCGTCATCAACTCCTCCCATGCTCGCCTCCAGGACTTCACTAGAGTGTCTCCCATTCTATGGAACTCTCTACCCCAACCTATCCATCTGTCTCCCACTCTGACTGCCTTTAGGCGATCCCTAAAGACTCATCTCTTCAGGGAAGCCTATCCCACCTCAACCTAACCGCTCAACCATCACGTTCTCAAACAATCACCCCTACACAGCTCCCTCCTCATGTATCAATTGCCCCTCCCTTTTAGATTGTAAGCCCTCAGGGGCAGGGCCCCCCTTACCATCTTGTCTTAAATTGTATTGTGACTGTAATGTCTTCCTTATATTGTAAAGCGCTGTGCAAACTATTGGCGCTATATAAATCCTGTATAATAATAATAATTAGGAATCCATTGGGCAAGTAGGACATTGCAAAGAGGAGTAGTCTGTGTTTGATTGGAGCTCAGCACAATAATAATTTATAGAGGTTGGAAAGCATTTCGGTCTCTGGGGATGTGAAACTGCCACCAGAATTCAGGATAAGTGTTTATGTTGGTGTCACGCGTTTCTCTGGAGCTGTGTCATGTTCTCCGCAACTCATATTTCCCTAAATCCTCCGCAAGGTCAAAGGTTTCAGATTTCTCTTCCTTCTTAAGAGGAAACTAAATAAAATGTAACAAGTTGGGTACAATGAAGAAACGTTTATTTATCAGTGAATGACGATAAGGATTTATTACTGTAAGGTTTGATGATGTGATTTGTACATTTGTAGTGTCTTGCTGCTCCATATTTTCGGCATGTATTCGGTGCAAACTGTTGTAAATGCGCCATCTAGTGGTCATCCATATGTAATGCAGGGCGAGTGACATCTCTGCTCTGTGACTTTTTGCTCGGTTGTGTTCATGCTGCACGTAAAGTTTTGGCAAATGTAGGAGGTGATCCGGAGCTATGAACCCGGGGTGGGGGGGTGAGGGTGGGGGTGGGGGTGGAAATCTTACATTCATAGTTACTGCCCATCTCCTCTCTGTACCATGGTCCATGTCACCATCTGGAAGTCTTCATGAAGGGGGTCATTTTGGCCCATGAAACACATTAGCTTCCTCATTTCATCAAGATAGGACAACCCTAGAGTCAACAAGACCCGACAACGCCAGGGTCAACAAGGCAGGTGTCAGCAAGGCAGGACAACGCGAGGGTCAGCAAGGCAGGACAACGCGAGGGTCAGCAAGGCAGGACAACGCGAGGGTCAGCAAGGCAGGACAACGCCAGGGTCAACAAGGCAGGACAACGCCAGGGTCAACAAGGCAGGACAACGCCAGGGTCAACAAGACAGGACAACGCGAGGGTCAGCAAGGCAGGACAACGCCAGGGTCAGCAAGGCAGGACAACGCCAGGGTCAACAAGGCAGGACAATGCCAGGGTCAACAAGGCAGGACAACAATTCCAACAGGACACCACTAGGGTCCATCGCTACCTATCCATTGTCCCGAGTAACAATATAGCCCTGACAGAGGTTGATTCCCATTCACAATCTGTCCAAAACATTTTCGGCTGGAGACACATTTTAAGGAATCGGCGCACTTTAACACACTGACAGTTACAGGCATGACTCCCAGAGTCAGAGGCATGATGGGATTTGTAGTGAAAGCACAGCTGGTGGACCGGTGTTGCCCGCCCCTGCTCTAAGCTGTGTGTATTTTTGGCTCTGCTGTAAGTGCCGCATCTTATTGCTCTTTGAAGTGCGTTAAATAAAGCTAATGATGGCGTCTGATGAAAGAATGAAATGTGATTATTCCCGCCTCTCATCCACAATTATAGGATTTTCCGGAGTATTTAGAGGAATCCTCCACCCTAAAGCACACTTCAAGAGTATCAAACAGATGAGACGCTCCAAAGAGAGGTCACAAGTACCACTGCGCTTCGGGTATGTACATGGAATCAACCGGGGATCGCACAAAATCCCCCCCATAGCCTATGACGTGACTTGTTCTCACCTACTCTCTGGCTGCAGGCGTCAGCTGATAGTGGAGGCTGTACACAGACTTTAGGGGAGCGCAGTTTATGATCTGGGATATCTGCTGCACCGTGAGGTGAAAAGTGCCCAACATGTCTCTGGATTACATCTTCTAGGCCCCGTTCACTCTTACTATGCATGTCAATGTACGCAAAGTCGAAACGCGTGAAAAAAATGGTGCCATGTCATTACCATGCCATTCATTGCTCTTGGCACCTCAAGACGCGTGTTGTCACATTCACATACTTCCCAATCCAAGATGTCACCAGCACACCATGATTAGATACAGGACACTTTATTGTTACCAACAGGAAGCGACATTACAGGACCACTAGCGATCTCTTCCTGAGGCAGCAGTGACAGTCGACCAACAGGAAGTGACATTTCGAAGCCACTAGGCCTATCTTCCTCAGGCAGCAGTGACAGTCAACCAACAGGAAGTGATGTGTGAAGGCCACTAGGGACCTCTTCCTTAGGCAGCAGTGACAGTCAACCAACAGGAAGTGACCTTTCGAAGCCACTAGGCCTATCTTCCTCAGGCAGCAGTGACAGTCAACCAACAGGAAGTGATGTGTGAAGGCCACTAGGGACCTCTTCCTTAGGCAGCAGTGACAGTCAACCAACAGGAAGTGACATTTCGAAGCCACTAGGCCTATCTTCCTCAGGCAGCAGTGACAGTCAACCAACAGGAAGTGACATGTTGTGGGCACTAGGGATTTCTTCCTCAGACAGCAGTGACAGTCAACCAACAGGAAGTGATATTTTAAGGCCACTAGAACTATCTTCCTCAGGCAGCAGTGACAGTCAACCAACCGGAGGTGATGTTAAATGGCCACTAGGGATCTCTTCCCCAGGCAGCAGTGATAGTCAACCAACAGGAAGTCATGTTTCAAGGCCACTAAGCATATCTTCCTCAGGCAGCAGTGACTGTCCCTAGTTGCCTTGAAACATCACTTCCCGTTGGTTGACTGTCACTGCTGCCTGAGGAGGAGATCCCTAGGTCCCAGAGATTTCTTCTCACATCTATCCATGTGACGGTTGTCAGAACAGGAAGAGAGGGGGGAACGTCCCCACTTACTACCTATTTGAAAGGTATCAGACAAAACAGGAAGTGCAAGAAAGGTTTACCACTTCCTACGCAATCGGCAGGTGTCAGACAAAACAGGAAATAAGGGGAAATCCCCCCAATATCTTCCCACCTCCTACCTAATGGATGGCAAGGGTCAGACAAAACAGGAAGTGAGTAGATGTGTGACAGACACAACAGGAAGAGAAGAAAGATCTCCTCCTTGTTGGTATAGATGGCATCCACAACCATAACACTGTTGCTACTTCGAACTTAAAGTCTGACTCTGGCTACTCCTAGCTTAAACAATGTATTAGGAAAGCACTGCGCTCTCTAGGCGTGTCTGACACGTCAGTTTCCATCGCCACAAATACAAAGTTTTCCAATCAGGCATCGCCGAAGACAGCCCCTGTTCCCGTACTGCGAGAGCGAAGGCCCCTTTTCAGGAAGCGTTGCTAATAGCAACCGGTGAAAGCCGTTCGCTGATTGGACGATAAGCGGAAAAGGGCGTGTGCATGCGAGTGACGCGTGGTGGAAGACAGCCGTGGCTGATACGGTGGCCGAAAGAGGACAGAAGCGGTTTGAAATTGGCTTGGCGTGGCCTAGATTGATCCCTCGGTGTCATCGTAGTGTGAAGAGCCGGCGAGAGAGCGGAGATGAGCGGCAGGAGGAGAGAGGAGCAAAGTGACCCCCTGATGACATGGGTACATAATGGGGCTGGTCACTGGGGAACGGGGGTTGTGCGGTGTGGTAACTTGTACTAACTTTCCCCTTACCTGATACCCCAACTAGCTGCCAGTTACCACCACGGGGCTCTGTATTACCCTGAGGGGGGCAGGAGGACCGCTCCTTACTGTCCCTGCAGTGCCCTACCTGCACACTGACACTGCACCATATGCTACCCTGCACCATGTGTCAGTGAAGGAAGAAAAACCCCATTTGGAGCACAGACCAATATGCCAGTTACAGTGTTAACGCTGAACTCCGGTCACAGAATCTCTCAATCTATCTCTTCACAAAGGGTCAAAATACACTTCACGTGCACAAAGCGCCCCCTTGCAAACCCAGATATCACCTTGCAAATGTAGCAGCGATATCATTATCATCAGCCTGTAATGGAGCTGTGGGAGGGGCCCAGGCTCCACCCATTGCAAGCTGTAGAAAACTACAGGAGGGGGCCGAGACCAGACCAGTCACCCTGCCCATAGAGAGGGAGTAGCGGTGACCGGTCTTTATTACAGGATGCTCTTGCACAGAGGCAAACGTTCTCCCATGAAACATGGTTGTACATTTACATGACCTGTTTGGTGTGAGTGAACCCTTCATTTGCTGCATGTTGTCTTAGCATTTTTAGGTGTGATTGGTATATGCTGCTGGTAACAATGGAAATAATAATTATACTTTATAACCATTTTCCTCTTTTTTTTTCTTCTGTTGCAGATGCAGACTTTTCCAGTGTCTGGTCCCTGCAAATCCTATGAGGACCTGACAGGTGGAGTAGCTATTGCCCAGGTCCTGAATATCATGTGAGTAGGTTCTTGCAGTTTACGATTTAAGCATTAGTCAGTATGACCTCATCGCATCTGCTCCTTTTTATCATTACTGTCTTGAAGGGGATTTCCACTTTTGGCAGTTACACTTAAGAAAACCCCTCTGAATGTTTGTGTGTTCCCTTCCACACAGCATATGTACAAAAATGACATGGTGTGTGTGTGTGTGTGTGTGTGTGTGTGTATATTATATCTATATAGATAGATAGATAGATAATCTTGCCTATTGGATGTCCCTATACAGCAGGCCATTGGACAGACTGCAAGCTACTCTGTACAATTTCCATGTGACAGGAAAGTCTGACTGTCTCCATAGAAAGACCTAGAAAGAGCTAGGGTTGCCACCTGTCCTGGATACCCCCAGACAGTCCGGGTTTTGAGTCCTGTATGTGCTGTTTCCGTGTTTCAGGCCAGCTAAAACCCAGACACAGCACATACAGGACTCAAAACCCGGACTATCCAGGTGAATTTGGTGGCAGCCCTAGGCAGAGCGGCATGTTTCATCTATACAAAACACAGAGATGGCGGCCATTATGGATAAGTATCATTGTCCCTCTTTAAAACTCCAAGTCCAGGGTTACTGCCTTCTTATCTCTCCTCTATATCCCTATGTCTCATCAATACTGGAATAGGGACTCTACATCAATTTCCTCCATTGTTTCAGGGACTATGTGTCCTATAATTCCAGGTTGGAGGTTCCTGTCTGTGGGCGGAGCATCAGGAGCTGGGGGTGGGGACTTGTGTGAGACACTGCTGTGCTGCCTCTCGCATGGCGTGTCAGGCATTTGTGAACACAACCAAGAACTACATGGGCACCATGATTGTGTCATCTCTGAGCCAGCATCTCAGACCAGGAAGTAAATGGTGACCCTGGATGATGCCTGAACAAAGATGGCGCTGGCCTTCTGGAGAGAAAAGCAGATTAAGGCATTGTTAGGGGGAGTACTGTTATCCCCGTGACAGGTGTTACACTGACACATTATGAATACATATATCTGCTGCTAGGATGATTGTAACTGTGTTGAGCTGTGAACTGTCCGCTGCCCTTTTTTTGTGATTTCCCTTTCCTTTTTGTTCTGTCTGTAGAGATTCCAGCTGGTTCAATGAGACCTGGTTGATGCGGATAAAGCCGGACACTGGAGATAATTGGAGGATGAAGGTGAATAATGATAAAATAGCTAATTAATATGTGTGTGTGTGTGTGTGTGTGTGTGTGTATATATAATCAGAGGTGGACAAACTCCGGCCCTCCCGCTGTGCTACAACTACAAGTCCTGTGAGGAATTGCAAGACTTTTGACAGCCACAGGCATGACTCCCAGAGGCAGAGGGATTTGTAGTTTTATCACAGCTGGGCGGGGGCCAGAGTTTGCCTACCCCTGATATATTCACCTGAATCTAATGATTTGGAGGGGCGTCCCAATACTTTTGGCAATATAGTGTATATGTAAATGGAAGGGTTTGTACAACCATCTTCTCGTCTTCTCCCCTGGGCTCATTGTATGCTGATAGTTTCCCCATTCTAAAGAAAAAGTCCGACCTAAACACACTGGGTGACTGGACAGCCGTCTGGTAAACGAGCTTCAGTGGTAAAGGTGGGAAAGATCTGGGTGTACTTGTAGATTGTAGACCAGGGGTAGGCAACCTTGGCAATCCAACTATGCTGAATGAATTGTTCCACAGTGCATGCAACTACGGAGGCCATTGAGGGCTTGTATTAAAGCGAATTCACAGTATGGTAGGACTACTGGAATGTCTAAGTTTACTTTAATGTCGATATAACATCCTAACCATGTAAATATTGTCTTTTGGATTTCAGTCTTTAAATATTGAGCAGATCATAGAAATCCTCAGCAGCTTCTCTTATCTCCTCTTATCTTCTACCAGGTCAACAACTTAAAGAAAGTCCTACAGAGTGTTCTGGAGTATTACCAGGATGTGAGTACGTTTAATTTTTGATGCAGAATGTTTTGTACAATATTTATTTATTATAGAAATGTACATAGTGCCAACAATTTACACAGTGCACATTTACATCAGTTCTTGCCCTCAAGGAGCTTACAGTCTAAGGTCCCTATATCACATGTACACACACAGGGCTGATTTAGACAGGAGCCAATTGCCCTGACAGCATGTATTTGGAGGAAACCGTAATACGCAGAGGAAGCACAGGGAGAACATGCAAACTCATTGCAGGTGGTGTCCTAACCGGTATTTGAACTAGGGACCCCCAGTGCTGCAAAGCAGAAGTGCTAACCATTGTATTAGACCATTACTACCTTTAAAGATGAACTCCAGGTATTGTTCAAATTAACCCTTGCAGTGGGGCTACCCCCATACTGCAAGGGTTAGGTGCTCATTTTGGTTTAGGGATGAAAAACAAAGAAGATATACTCGCCTGATCCTCAGTCCCGCCTGGCTGATAGACTGATCCCCGCAGCCTCTAGAATTATTGCTATCACTCCATCTGTCATGTGTGGTGATACCTAACTTGTGGTGCAATAGTCAGTTTCACACGTAGGTGCGAACAACGCGCACATTTACCTTCTTATGTACGTGGGGCAGGGAACTTTAAACCTTTCTTTTTTCATTTTGTGTAACTTTCTTCAAGGCCGTACTGTCCCAGTAGTCTCTCCTAATATATGTTTTATCCCTCAGACAGACCTCATATCTTTCTTATGGGGATCTAAATTGGGGATCCTTCCTCCTGCTGGAGATCCCTCTAGTGATAACTAATTATGTATATAAGGCAATCAGGACCTTCCTCCTGCTGGGGATCCCTCTAGTGATAACTAATTATGTATATAAGGCAATCAGGACCTTCCTCCTGCTGGGGATCCCTCTAGTGATAACTAAAGATCTATATAGAGGAATCGGGACCTCCTTCATCCTGCTGGAGATCCCTCTAGTGATTATCTAAAGCTCTATATAGAGGAATCAGGACCTCCTTCCTCCTGCTGGGGATCCCTCTAGTGATATCTAAAGATCTATATAGAGGAATCAGGACCTTCCTCCTGCTGGGGATCCCTCTAGTGATATCTAAAGATCTATATAGAGGAATCAGGACCTCCTTCCTCCTGCTGGGGATACCTCTAGTTATACGCCCCAGAATGTTATTTGCCTTCCCCACTGCCAGGTCACACTTTGTGCTCTTTTTTTCACCCAATATTAATCCTTTCGTTGACAACAATCTGATGCTGAAAAGAAATAATTTTTACCCAACAGACCCTCCTCCGTGCGAGATGATCATCATGGTGTAGTAGCAAAGCTCTTATCTAGGGATGCACTGATACGGCTTCTGGCTTCACGTGCTAGGCATCCTGGCTTCCTGATCAATCAGGGAGCTGGACGGCACATCATGACCCGCAGCCTGGCTTTCTGATTGGTCAGGAAGCCAGGCTGCCTAGCAAGTGAAGCCTGTGTTCTTTCGTTAGAATACCAGCTTCCCAGGGGATCAGGAAGCCGGGCAACGGGTCATGATCTGCTGCCCAACTTCCTGACAATCGGGGTACACGCCAGTGGTATCGGTACTCCTGTATCGGCGAGTACCGAACAAAAAAAATATCGGTACTCGATACCGAAAAAACAGTTTCAGTGCATCCCTAGTCTCATCCATTTCAAGTGTGAACAGGCCAAAAAAGACAGGGACAGCACTCTATGATACAAAATCGCTGCTTATCAGCCCAATACTGTAAATCCTCTTTAGTTTCTCCCTTGCCTTCTTTCCTTCTGCACTGAGAGAATCTCTGTACTTGGTATAAGCTACAAGAACAGCCCTTCCTTCCAATTGCATTGTGTCAGCTATCACTTGGTGTGTTCCTTGTAGACATATAGGATGGTGAATTCCTAAGGGTTTTTTTTAGGTTTATCTTTCGTTTTCCTTTACAATGCCACAAACCAAACTTTCCCTCACTGGTGACATGTGTCCACTGCTTTACTATGCCACGATCCTGTTTCTTTATAGGCACTAGAGTCTTTGTGTTTGTGGGGTTCCTCTATCAGAATAGTTCTTTTTGTTTTTGTGCAAACTTTTCTTGTCATTTACCTCACCTGCACTTCCTTGTCACCTGCGGTACAGCCCGCGTCCCAGAAAAAGTCCCATGCCACAACTATGTGTTTACTGACACGTTATCAAAGGCAAGCCTTCAGTTCATCCCAGGTCACAGTGACTCGGCTGCTGTGACATTAAAGAAGAACTCCGGCACAATCTTTCATTTTTCTCTTACAGCCTTTATCAACTTGTATTGCTCTTTGTCTCATTGACACGTCACAAACTAAGGAACTCTCCTAAACGGGGACACAGCAGAAATAACTTGATACTTATTCATCTCTATGAGTCCATTAAAGAGATTCTCCTTACTTCCTGTCCCAGTTTCAGAGCAGGAAGTGAAGGGAACAATCCCCAACAGCACCCCAACAAATGAAGGCACACAAAATGTTGTCTGAAGTTTTGGTATCGGCATAAAAGCAAGGGGCATACAGAAATCATTTGTATTTTTCTGCCACCTTCCCCAGAGTATTTTTGGGTAGAGGGTGTGACAGAAGGTAGCACGTGCGGGTGAGATGTACAGCTGGTGTGTGTGATATGATAGGACGCAGTTTGTTAAGATGGTGGGGAGAGAGGACTATGATGGCATATACAATGTACAGTGAGGGTAAAGGAGGCCCAGCATAGCACAGGCCCAGCACTCAATGAACAGGAAGCTCTCCTGTTCATTCAAAATTTGGAGATAGTAAATATTTACCATCGACCCAGCCATGAATGGACAGGAAGCCTCTGTACTGAGCTGCCTCCTGTTCATTCATAGAGTGAGCAGATGGTAAATATTTACTATGTCCCCATTCATGAATGAGCAGGCACACTTACAAACACTTAGTGATCAATTCATGAAGCCACATAGAGTCCTGGATGCTCATTTCATGAATTTTATTCTATGACCAATGTTTTGTGGGGAACATCCCACATTTATCAAGGCCCCGCTAAAACGTAAGTTATCATGTTATGCACTGATTAAGGGACGGGCCCTTATTTTAGTACTTTTGTGTTGCCTTGTCCAGATATTGGGCCACCCAGTCTCAGAGGATCATATTCCAGATGTCGCTTTGATTGGGGAGTTCTCCAACACAGCAGAGCTCAGGAAGATGGTGCAGCTTGTCCTAGGATGTGCCATCAGCTGTGACAAGAAGGAAGGTAAGTGGAGATTTCCCCTATCCCGTCTCTGTGCCTGTGGAGTGGTCCCTGTGCGTCCTTCATGTATATATTTAACGTTCAACTCCAGCCAAAGCTTTTTCTGTGTTGGAAGAGAATGGGAGAGGGTTTGTAATGTCTGTTTCCCCGCCGGTAGATGTCCCTATATTTGCTGTCACAATCTCTCCAAAATAAGAGGGAAAAACACCTCCAACAGTTGAAAACAGAGCAGATATCCCTATTGGAGGATTTCTCCAGTTGCTTTGGATCAGTGACAGTGGTCCCCCTGGAGAATGATGGAGTTAGATATCCCCAGTAAGGACACAGATAACCTTACAGAGGTCCTAAGCCTTCCCTATTTTATCCAAAACTCAAAAAAAGTTATTTTTGGCTTGGTTGTAGAGATGTCTATGAATAAGCCCGATCCAGGGGTAGCGGCTACAGCTGCAGGTTCCTGTCTATCGGCGGCTGTCATCCGCCCACACCTGCTCCTCCTTACTTCTTCTCCCCACGTCCCTGTGCCGATCGTGGCAGACCTGGCAGCGGCGAGCGTGAGGTGGGGAGGAGGTGTGGCGCGCAGCGTGTGTGGAGCCATGAGCAGGACCAACCAATCGAAAGTCGATTAATCGATGATTCAAAAAGTTGACAACTTTTTCAATAATCGATTATAATCGATTATGTCGATTAGTTGTTGCAGCCCTAGATCAGACACTTGAATGCGCAGGGGGAAGGTGTGGTAGGGTTTTTGCGCTACTGCAGTCAAGGACAGATTTTAACAATCAATCTGTGTAATGAAGTCATGTATGACTGTAGTAAAAATCTCTTCTGAGCAAGCCCAGCAACACCCAACGGAACCAAGGAGGGATACAATGAGGGGATAGATTCAAACAGCAAGGGCAACATGACTCCAAGCTACGGGTTCTTCAAGCAGGCCCTGACCCATTGGTGGAGCCGGGGACTGTCCCCCCCCCCCACCCCCCCCCCGCTCT